CTAAAATGTTATTATTTGCTAAACGAGTGTGGGGATGTGAAAATAAGTATTTTTATTATTTTTGTGAAAATATTATGACATGTTAAAATGTTTTTTTTAATTTGTTTATTAAAGAAAAGAATTTTTGAAAATTCAATGACCTAATGTCAAAGTTTCTATAAAATATGTGTAAGTTTTAAAATTAGGGTTTAAGAGTGGTTTAACTGGAAAAAAAATACAAACAAGATAGACAAAAGAAACATGTAAGGATGCACAATGACACACAATGACATGAAGCTAACAAGATAATTATTTCCCTTGGATTCAAACACAAAGATAATAATCAGATTAAGACCAAACAAGAACCATGTATCAGATAAAAATGGATAGTAACCATAGTCCAAGGATTAAAGAACCAATTTTAGGTTTTTTCTTTCTTTATTAAGTGGCTTATAACAAGCAAAATAAAATAATAAGCTCAAGTGAGCAAAGAGAAGATAAATGCTCAAGTGAGAAAAGAAAAAATGCATAAAGTAAAGAAAATAAATTTCTATAGATGATAAATGGCATAAAAGTGAAGAGAGAAAAATATAAAGTGCGGAAATATAAAGTGCAGAAATATAAATGATATTAAAGTAAAGTTAGTATAATATAAAGTTAATAATCTAATTTGGGATAAATGTAACTTCATATGGAGCATAGAATATATGTACCCATACATGTTAGAGAAATGACATTTTGAAGTTCATTCTCTTATACATGTAGTACAATTAACAAACATGGGGGATCAAGACAAAGTCAAGAAAAATACACTATGATAAATTTATCATCAATCTCAAGTAGGTTGGAAATGATGAAAGTTCATCAAATATCCGACAAGCATAAAAAAGCTGAAATGCTTTCCAAATTGATTCAAATAAAAATAAAAATAAAATAGATAAAGAAGTATAAGATGAATTATATAAAAATAGTATAAATGTCATAACTTTCTCAATTTTTTATTAAATTAAACAAATGAATAATGAAAATTTATCTACTTAATCTCACGAGCAAGGTTTCATGCTAAAAATAAGTAAATAAATAACAAAAATTAAAGAAAAAAAATGAAAATTAAACAACAATAAATCACTTTTGTTTTTGGAGGTTCAAGAACACTTTTCAACTCTTGATTTTGAATCAATGGAGTTTCCTTGCAAAATGATGATAATTATGGTACTAAATAAATATATAAAGAGTAAAAATGCAATAGAATTAAATAAAGAACAAGTATAATAGCCTACATATTCAATAAAAGGAAGAAATGACTTCAAAGAAAATAAAGAGAAAAAATAAGGGAATTTTGACTTAGTTTAGTGAATAATTTGTGGTATTGTTCCTCTCAAATGAAAGAAAAAGATGTCTTATTTATAGGGTGAATGAGGTGGAAATGTTGATGTGGAAATCCATGTGATCTTATGAGAATGGTTCTTGGCCATTGATAAGTCTAAGTTGGTAATCCATGTGAAGTGTGAGAATGATCCTTGGTCATTGATAAGTACAAGTTGATAATCCATATGAAGTATTTGTACTACATTATAGTGGTCTCAATTTTTCTTTATTGACACAAAAAAACAAAAGGACAAAGCAATAATAATAATAGTAACAATAATAAAAACTAAAAGTGTTAGTAATAATAATAAATAGAAAATAGAAAATAAAATAGACACTAAATTAACTATTTATGATTTTTTTTGTTGAATTAAAATAAATGAAACATAAGTGCAAATTAAAAGATAAAAAATAAAATACATATAAGAAAGTAAAAGGACTTATATAATGTTTTTTAGATTTTTTTGAAATAAATGATACCAATATATACATTCAAATTAATAAAAGAACATATTTTTGACAGTTTTTTAGTAAAGAGATAAAAATAGTAAATAAATAAAATAACATGATGCTAAATACATTTTTTTTTTATTTTTTAAATGGAAAATAAATCATGAATAAAACACAGTAAAAATCAAATTCCACTAAATTCATAAACGACTTCTAACATTTCTATTTTTTTTGTGGCTTTTCAAAGCATAATCAGCTCTTGACTTGTAAAGAGAAATCGTAGATGTCAAGGAGAATCATATGCAAAAAGAACCGCTCAAAAATGTCAAAATTTGGAGAAGTTATAAATTTTTGAAATCTAACTCAAGAATTGGCAAAAATAGGTCAAACCACTTATGTACCCTTGCTACGAAATAATGCGGATGGAATGCAGGATCTTAGGTAAAAAATTAGGGTATGACACATTTCGACCAGCTCATGTTCAGGAACTCTAGTAAAATATCTAGACTTTAGGACCCTAAACCTATTCAAATAAGCCTCCATTGACTCAGACGATCTCCTCTTGATTGAGGATAATTCTTTCAAACTTATCTTAGGCTGACCAACATAAAATTGCTCATGCAATACGCCCTCAAGTTGTTATCAAGTGCGTATAGAATTTGGAGTCAATGTTATAAAGCAAGTAAAAGCATTTTGGTTAATGAACTAGGAAAATATCTTAATTTAAACCCTCGTCATTGACAATATCGTCAGCTTCTGTTTCGTACCTAGCAATGTGTTCAATGGTCGACTCATTAGCATCACCAAGAAACTTGGTAAATTTAGATACCTTACATCCCTTAGGTAATTCTGTCTGTCGAATATAATCAAGCAAGGGAGACAAATAATTAGGCCTCTGAAGGCCAACATTTACCCTAGATCGTGTTAACACTTCTTCTACTACATTCACTATGTTGTTACGCCCAACAATGACATTTCTTAACACTTGATCAACATCCTGGTTCCTCATAACTACGACTGGCCTAAGTTTGTATTGTTCAAAAAATTCTTCCTCTTCATAAGTGGGTACTTCCATTCTTCGAGGTCTAAAAGAACGCTTATTGTTGTCTCCCTTTAGTTCTTCAAAAACTCTTAATGGTCTTTGGCGCGTCTGAGTTGGTTGAACCCCTAATGACTCGATCAATCTGCCTATTTGGCCAACTACAGGATTGAAGGCAACTCCCATTTGCTGAGTTAAAACATTCACTAACTCTAAATTACTCTCATCTATTTGTTGCCTCAAAGCCATAACAAAAGTAGTATTCAAAGATGGCATCGACTGAGGGATATAACCAACACCACCTAGTCGACCACCTGAGACATAACTGCCTTGGTTTTCAGTGGCCACTGGGTTTTCTGTATATGTGGATGGATTCGAATGTAACCCAACCATCATGAAATAAGGCATACCATATTGATAAGGGACAAATAATGACCCTGGATCCCCTAAAAAGAGTGATCGATTTGGGCCAAATGGTGATACCACATGCCTAGGTTCTGTCATTGTGACTGTTGTCACTGAACCATGAACAACGGTCGATCTCACGTGAGATAAAACTATCGTGCTTTGAATTGTGGCACTCACTGGTATGACATCTACATTTTGTGTAGAAATTTGTGTATGTGCAGTGTTTGTGTCAGAGCGTGACATTTTAGACTTCGATAAATATTTGCCACTTCTTAAATTCATATACACACAAACTAAACTACAAGAAACTTTATAAAGCCAAACACAAATACAAAATTATTAGCACCGTCCCACCAGGTGTGCCAATTTATTTACCTTTGGTTTTAGTAAATAACGTTGGTCTCTTAACAAAAGTTTACTAGCGAGATCGACTAGGAAATTTCAGTACAGTGCTTCAGTTTTCGAGTGTTTTCACAAAGTATGTTCAAAAGGATTCGTTCAACTGGTGTCAAACGAGTTGATAAGCAATAAAGCAAGACTCGTAAAATAAAACAAAAAGTGTTTTAAATTGTAAACATAAATGACATAACATCAAAATTATTGAAAGTAAGTTGATTCAAACATACATTGCCCTAACTTGACTCATTTCGCTCGTTCTTTTGGGTACTCTGAGTGACTAGTGTATAGGAATGTGAAAGTTTCAACCTTTAACACTATGCACTAAGTGCTTTATTTATAATACACAAAAATAACTACTTTCTAGCAGACTTCGCTTCTTTGTATGCCACGTGTATCTTGTAACTCCTCTTCATGATCCCACGTTCTCCATTCGTACTCTCGAACCCACGTTCTCCATGTTTCCCTCCAAAACGCTTCACTCGCTTGATGGATCTTTTGGACCTTTTGACGTTTTTAGGCCCAATTACTTATGAGGTCTTTCATGGTCGACTGCTTCTGTTTTCAGGCTCAATCATTTACTTGTAAAATCTCTCTAAGTCGACTGCATCAGTAGTCAAATACTTATAAAATCTCTTTAGGTCTTAGGTCGACTGCATCAGTAGTCGAATCATATAAATCACTTTTTTCGAAAAATCTTTTTGATTCTTTTCTTTTAATTGAATTTTAATCCTTATCAAAAATCTCATCCAACAATTTCACAATTATATTATATATACTAAATTTGAATGATGGTTACAATTTCAATGAAGAAATTGCTTATTCAATCTAAAATATCTGTAAAATTTCAACAATTTTCGTGTCTTGTTTGAAAACAATTATGTTACATTTGATCCTCTAAAGTTACCGATAACATCATCTTAACCACGAGCCTTTCCATTTTACATTAAACTAGGGACCAAATGTGATGAGCATATCTTTTTAATATCTTCAATTTAAAACTCCAAAATAAGCATTCACTTTACACAAATAAAAGTCATGATAACAATTCCATATCAAATAATTCATGCATGGTCTTTATATAGAATGATAAAAAGATATAGATGAAATTAAATATATTACAAACAATAACTGATTTATGCCACATTAATAAATGATACAAATCACAGTCAACAATATATGTTGTAGTAATAAAAACACACCCAAACAACATAGAAATTGAACACAACATGTGCCTCAATATGACACACAATCATAAAGTAGAAACGAAAAGCCTCAAATAACAGAAACAAACTTTAACACACTCATTTCCTAATAGTTGGAATATATAGTATATATATTTGATGAAGTTTTGAAGTATTTATGCTTTAGGGCCAGATGGAACAGTAGGCAACTCTGGCTTAGGAATCTGAGGAATTTCAGGAACCTTAGGGACAGTTGGTACAACAGGGATAGCAGGGATTGGAACACCTAGGTTTGGAATTTCTGGCAATTGTGGCTGTGGTGGCAATGCAGGTAGAGTAGGTAGTGTTGGTAGAGTTGGTAATGGTAGTAGTGTTGGCAATTCAACTTTGGAAACTTCATGCATGTTTTGAAGGTTACGTGCTCCTTCAACATTTGTCATTGATGAAAAAGTTACGAGTACAAGAAGTGGTATCATGAATGACAAAACATTAATGGAAGCCATTTTTTGAGGTAGAGAGATGAATACTAGTGTATGTGATGATAGTTTTGGTTTGTTTCAGGTAATGGTTTATGTGTGTTGTGCCCTTTTATAGACAAACAACTAGATATTTAGGGCTAACACTAGTATAATACAAAATTCACCTCATTAGGGTTCCTTGTCTTGTCGACATGAAAATATTTAACGACATTATAATTCAATGCAACACTTACCTTCTTATTGCCAAGACATTTTTTTAAGCTAAAGTAAATGTTATTTTAAATTGTGTTTTAATTTATAATTTAAAATTTTTCTTCTATTTTGTCTTTATTATTTTAACTAAAATTTATTATTATCTATTATAATTTATTTTAATTTAAATAAAAATAATTATATATTAAATATTTTTATGTCATTTTAATTTATCAATTAATTAAATTGTTAATTTTATCAAACACTTCAATTAATTTATTCATTATAAATCATTATAAATCATCAACCATAAACTATAAATTATAAATTATCCGTATCAATCATTTATCATAAGTTATAAAATATTAATTATTTTATACATTCAATTGTAGAAAAATAAAAGTTATGATTGATCAAATTATACATTCAATCATAAAAAAATATTTCTGATCAAACTATACATTCAATAAGTTAATTAACATGTAGTTTGCTAATTTCCCAATTGACAAAAAGCATATTACTACTATGTTGAACGTCAATATACGATTTACACTCTACCTTCGACGGTTGTATAGATGAGTTTGTAATAGTATTACCACTTTGTCTTTATATTATTAAAAAAAACTTAAATAACATAAATGTTTAGTTTCACTTTTACGAGAGGCGGAAATTTTAAAATGATAAAATTAATTTTTTCCATACTTCTGTATATTTGATAAATATTGATTTCTTTTAGGAATAAATTCTAACTTAAAATTAAGATTTAAAATTTTTATTTTTAAGGATATATTTTTAATCATAATAAATTTGTGTCGACATGGTGCCACACACAAGATTCCAAAAGACCTGGCTCATACATTGGATTTTAGTCATATGATTGATGCAAGTAATGCCAAAGCTTACAACTATTATAATTTGTTTTTATCAAATAATTTTCATACAGAAGTTTTTCTTTTATGTTAAAAATTAATTTATAAAAAACTACAGTAACATAAATCTTAAAAAAAAAAAAAGTAAAATGAAAAAAATAAAATAAAATAAAAAGTTCTTTAAATTTAAGTGATGGTTTTCAAATTTAATGGAATTCAAATTTAATACTTAAAATAAACACACTCTCATGAACCAACCTCTAGCATAAAGTAATCAACAATGAAATTTTTAAGATAAGAACGCTAATAAGCCAATAAAGATAAGAACTGGTTGGCTCTTGTTAATGTTATAGATGTTGGAGAACATGTAAACTTTTGTCATATTAGAAGGTTGAGATAACAGAATAAGGCCCATATCTAAATAAATCACACAACAACACGGTAGGATGAGTTGTCCTGTTATCGACAAAATTCACTGTGTGGCCTGTGCTCAACTTATATTATCATGATACGTATTTTATATTCATATAGCTACATTTCTTAGCCAGATACATTTTCTGTGAATTATGTTCATTTTAAAATTGATAAAAAGATCTGCTATATAATAAGGAATTATGTATTTTTCAGGTGAATATTTTCAGTCCTTTAAAATTACAAACTCAAACTCTTATCACTCAACTCTAATGCTTCATACATGGTATGACAAACTGATAATTATACTACATAATTCCTGCATGATAAACTAACTAAGCATGTAATTTTGATTCATAAATGAAATCTTAATAGAATTCTTTGTGATAGCTATAGGAAACTATATAGAGTACAAATTTTAAATAGTACTGCTAGTTACCAACCACTACAAAAAAAAAATCATTTAGCTAGGAGTTAACTAAACCAAAAAATATTTCACAAAATCAACATTTGTGAGGGGTTATGTCTTCTAGTTAAATCACTAGTCGCTAATAAGTGATGAGAAGCTAAGCACTTAGCCAATTAGTTTGGAGCTAAATTCCTCGCTAAAAGTAAAAATTAATTGTACATTGACTAGGGACTTTACTCCTAGCTAAATATCATGTTGCTTTTGGCACATACGCTCAGAAAGTATAAGGAGTGTGCACGAAGCGTGCAGAGTTTGTAAGCAACATTAGCTAGGGGGTTTACCCTAAACTAAAAACCAAAATTTATTTTTTAAATTATAAACATAAATATTTAATTTTCTTATTATTATTATATTTATAATCAATGAATTTCATAATTATAATTTAATAAAATAAAAAATTCAATATTAATAATATTAGTAATATGTTTTTAAATATAATAAATAATATAATTTATAATTAATATTATATTAATAAAATACTAAATTAAAATTAAAATATTACAAGAACATTGTTTATAATTATAAATAAAAAGTGTTATTGGCAAAAATTAATTTTCTTCATCGGTGTTATTGTCTTCATCGTCATTTTCCCCTTGATTATCACGCCCTCTAAATTATTGCATAAACTGTTGAAAAATACGCATAGATTCCTCATATTCTCTAGTTTTTCTTCTCATTTCTTCCTCCATTTCTCTTTGTCTCTTCTTCAATTCTTCTATTTCAACATTTCTTGCTTCCACTCCACGGGCAGCCTCAGAGTGCGTTAATAATCTCACAGTTTCCATCATGTCTGGGGTAAGTGAAGGTTGAGTCGATGATCCTTCCCATCAGTAATTTGCATTCTGAAACTCCTATCACGCCACCGGATTGTTTTGGCGAGACCTCTAGCACCATACACTCTCCCATTTTTTCTCTTCCCACGAGATACATCATACCAAGTCTGAAAACTCAGACTAGGATCAGTTGGGAAATCCCGACGGAGGTGGAATATATTCAGGATGCTCTGATAATCTTAGGGCAAACTATTTTCATACTCCTCCTATTAAAAAGAGTAGATGTTATTGTAATTTAAATTATGCTAGACACAAAAGAAATAAATAAAATGACTAAGCTTAAGGAAAACTTACTTGAATTTTTCTTGAGCGCTCATCAACAACCTCTCCATTTTTCTTGAGACGAGTCTCCTTATAGAGCTCATTAAGAAGCAAAGTTCTGCCCAACTCATCACGCTAAGTAGATGACATAAAAAAAAATAGTTATAACATAATCTAAAACTGTTGAGTTAATTACAAAATAATTAAATTTACCATTCTCCGTGCAACATCAGCAATACTAATACTACCATAGGCGTAGTTGCAGCCGCCAACTTCAGAGGCTCTATTTTTCTTGGCCTTTTCAGATGTACTCTTAAAGGAATCAGAATTCCAATGGGTAATAAGCTGCTCAAATACATCTGGACTTATCCAACGGGGACGCAAGCGTTTATTTTCCCAAGTAACTCTAACACGCCTTATCGTGTCAGAAAATCGTTGAACACATTTAATTTTAAAATGATCTCTTATTTGGATATCATCTTTAGGGTTCCAACAACATTTCTCCTTCAAAAAATATGAAATAAAGTTATAATCGTGATTGAGTGAATTACTTTAATAAAGGTAAAAAAGATCAAAAAGATTAAACAAAGTTGATTATACCTGAAATAACCTAAACCAAGCCTCCCTCTCATCACCATCAACTACACCATATGTAGGCAAAAATTTGTTATACTTTTCTTTAATGATCTCAGTGATGCAAGCTGCTGCCTGATGTGATGGGTAAAATCTAAGCAACTAAAATCTGAGTTAGTATTAATTATAAACGAACAACTAAAATTTATAATTTAAACATAATCACTTACGATGATCCCTCTGGATGAATGACAAATCGTCCATTCCTCTTCCTAATCACTTGTGGCACATTTCTCAAAATGCGTGCATTCTTATGCTCCTAGTCAGTCTCGTCCTGAACAACCTGCTCTATATGGTCATCATCATCACCCTGCTCCTCATGCGAATAATGCATGGGTGATGAATGTGACATGCTAGATCCATCACCTGGATCCCTATACTGCATAAATGTTGGATCTATAGTAGATATGGAGGTGCTAGGTCTAGCCTAGGGAATATGAGATGTATGTTTAGGAGGACTAAGAAAAGCTGAGGGGGAAATGTCAGGAAATGTAGAATAAGGTATGGGTAGTAGGTCTGTGAATGTAGAAGGAGAAGGATGCATAGATGGCGGATGGGACGCATAGATGGTGGAGTTGGATGCATATGTGGTAGAGTATGACGCATTAATGGTGGAGTTGGATTCATAAGAGGATGATGTGGTTGTTGACTCGATTGTGGCATAGGAATGAGGTTAGCCGTGTCAGGAACCTCTTCTATAATATACCTCGATCGATTGCGGTGAGGCTTATCTACTGGAGTCTTATCCTTATCTTCACGTCGGAGTGGCATTTTTTTCTATTTTGAAAGACGAACATAAAATAATTGATACATCAAACTTACAAGAATAATATATAGTAATTCAGGCAAGAATAATATTATTACCCAAGAGGTGTTAGACACGAGTAAAATAATATTACACAAATTATATTAAACAAATTAATATTACACAAATTAATCATCATTCAAGCTCATCTTCACTATCTTCATCATATATGATATTATAGTCTTCAGAGTCTCTTGACTCTTCATACTCCTCTTCCACAGGTGTCAATAAAATAATGGTGTCAACTTGTTGACCCTCAACTGCTGTATCACATAAGGTTGCAATCTCCTCAATTTCAATGTCCCTATTGACAGGTGAAATCTCATCATCTTGGAATACAACATCCTCTATTACATCTCCAGTTTCAATATGACCTATTTGGTTAGACTTGATTGCAACACACCATCCTCGTTTTCGTGGTTGAATGGAAGGATAAGGTACGTAATAAACTTGCCTAACATTATGTGCCATGATGAAAGGGTCATACTCTTTGTACTTCCTGTCCATTCGAACCTCAACAATGTTGTATTTTTTTGTCTATTTTTGTTCCT